TGAAGGACAACATTATGTTGCGTCTTATCTTGAGAATGGGTGACACATAATAAATAAATTAAATTATAAAATAAAAACATTAACAATCAGGCACAGTAGTCCAGTTAATAGTTTTTATGTTTGAAGTGTGACTAAATTAAAAATACATTTATTTTAAAAATTTGCCATTGATTGATGGTTGTCAGATAACTGAAATTTTTTTTGGTTGATGAAAGACAAGCCTCCCTGATTTAAAGAGCAAGTGAACGTAGAGCAATTCTTTGCAAAACATGAAACTTAATTAAACTATTTGTGCTTTTAGCAGCTTTGAAATGTAATTCCATTGAGACATTTAAGAGACTTTTAAGACTTTATAATACTAGAAGAGTTAGATCACTAAAAGGAGAAGAATGAGATCACAGAAGTATTTTCATGATAATCGTTAAAAAAGTTTAAATTTATTTCAGAGCAGAGTTCATTACATCTGTTGCTTTATTAAGAACGGTTGTTCGTTCATAAATCTTATGATATTTGACTAATCGTTCAAATATCTTGACATGATCTTAAGTTTTGTTATAACGATGTTGGGATTCTTCTTGTGCTTTAAATAATCTGAGGAGATTTTCTCCTAAGATATTGAAGTTGTTAATTAAGGCTACGGATAGGACGAGCTTTCCTAAAGGTTGAGCTAATACAGAAGAATGAAGAGACTTTACAAATAAAATAAAGGAAGATGTTATGTCCTCGATATAATAATAACAAGTTGCAGAATAAAACCACAAACAGGATCTTTATCTGCTTGTTTACAAAGAATTCGAAGACCTTGAATAGACTTCTTATTAATAACAACCATCTATTATCGAAAGAAGAGCATATAGAGAAATTTTGAGGAAGCAACTTCTCCAATAAAGAAAACTTATAAGATCTAAGTGAACGATCAGTCAACATCAAATACACTTTATTAATCAAAACTGCTCTATGTAGTAACGGAAGAAGTCTTTAGGAAGACTTAAGGAAGAAAGTTCCCAAATAAAAGAATAGTTGCGGGTGTAATGTCTTCCAAATAGTGATAATAACTTGCTGAAAAAGATCACGTAGCTGTCAGAGAGAAACATTAAGGAAAAGAGGCATTTGTGCCAAGAGAACACTGACACTTCAGTTTTAAACTTTACTAGGGAATATGGAAAGAAAAAATCATTAATAAGTTCCGTTATAATGCTTCACAGAGGATCTTAGTCGAGAAGAATATCGTGTATGATAATTTCGAGGAAAGATCATTAACTGTGATATCGCAGTTTGGATGATTCTGGCCATAACATGCCAAGAGAAATAAGGAAACACATTAACTCTTATGGATGAATATGGGAACAGTATAAGAAATTCTACAACCACTAAACCAAAATGGAAAAATTCCTCACAAGTTGTTGAAAAATGCCTCAGATAGGATGTTAGCGTACTAGGAAAAAGATTGAAGACCATGATGTGGGAGTTAGAGTGCTTCTTACGATAACAGCTCAAAGAGGAATATAAACCTTTAACTGTTATTGACAAGTTCTTCAATAATGTATCAGAGAAGATCTTAGTCAAACAATGAGAGCATGGTTGACAAGTGTGGGAACAGATTCAAGATTATAATGTAACACTTTAAATGACCTTTTCAATGATAAGCTTCAGTTATAGACGTGAAACTGCGATGATGAAAATGGAAAGGTCGTATTTTCGTAGGAAATCCTAAATAATGCTTCAGAGAGGATCATAGTTGAGATGGAAAGGATGTGTGGGGAAAGAAATATCAATCTACAGATGTTATAGTTAGCATGATCTTTGCGATACTACCCCAAATAGCAATCGGATAGGAATATAAAATACAATCTTAAATTACAATCTTTATCGAACGTTATGGCAAATGTAAATTTGCCTCAGAGAGGATCTTAGTTGACGAGGAGAGCAAGCGTTATTTGTTTGTGGAAAGATTTAATGATCAAACCAACAATATTCCAAGATGAATATAAACATTCCTCTTGTCACTTTACCTCAGTCATTCGAATAGAAATATTATATTGAATCTTTCTCCCTCAACACTTGCCAATTTAAGTTTACATTCTCTTAAAGCTCTTAATCCAACCAATTATAAAGCGCCATTTATGTAGTTAAAAACTTTCGTATTTTATTTATAACTAATGCAAATTTATGTAAATATTTAACGTTTATTTTTCTTAACGTTTAAACCAAAAGACAGCTATTATGTTATAAATAGCAGCGAAACTCATGACTAATGACTTTTAACATTTACAATACATATTTCAATAAATAATATAGAAAATTAACCTTTGACATTTCAACTATAAAGTAAAGAAAATCATTTTGAACGTAATTTGTTGTATCACTTTTATAATTAAAAAGACCAACAACAACAAAGTGTAAATGAGTAATTTACACAGATCCGTTTTTTTAGGTTTTGCTGCTGGGTCAATGGCCCAAAATCTGTATAATCGGCCTCAAATGTTTCACATTATTATTATGAGCGAGTGCTCGTGTTTTGTTTACTATTACTTTCTATGTATGTGTGTTTTTTATATAGTTTCTTCAGTTATTTGGTTTGTGCTTTTTTATAAATTTTGTGTAAATATTTCTCTTTTTTAAAAAAAAAAAAACATTTATGTTTTTCCTTAAGTTTTTTTCTTCTTTTTATTATTATTATTATTTTGGTTTTTGTTGCTTACAGGTCTTTTGACATTTTGTTAATTTTTTTCTCTGTACTATTTCTTTCTGTTTGAAAAGCCGTTTTAGCGCTTACGTCATTTACGAAAATATCCACCAGCAAAACCATTGATTGTTGCTATTGTTGTTGTTATATACTCAACAAACAACAAATACCGCAGAGAGTATCTAGTACTCTTGTACTCGTTCGATATACAAATGAGACATAGAGTAGAGAAATTTTGTTAGGTTTTGAAAACATCACGTTGCCAGATAAATTGAAAAACTTGAAGTGATCAAAATAGTGATTTTTGTTTCTAATTGGTTTGAAATCGTCAAAATTCCTTTAGCTGCATGAAGCCTATAGAATCTGGTTTGAATTGGTTGAGGTTTCCGTTAAGATATTATTTCTGAATAAGTATTCTTAGACTGATTCCGCTGGTATTCGATTTCTAGGGAAACATCATTTTAAAAAGACGTTTGCTGTCAAATCATGTATTAAAGCTGGAATGGAACACCATTTCCGAGTTACTAAACCAGTTAATACCATCTATTAACTGGTCAAAGAGTTAATAGTCCATGTCAAACTTATGTTTAGCACTAACTTTCGATCCATTTTTGAAATTAACTTTAACACATTAGATTTGCTTATCGAAACCTTTTTGTTCTATGATCAATCAAATCCGAAGCTTTTGATCAAACATCTTGAAATCGTTCAACTTCAACTCAAAAAGTAAAGCTCCAGGTTTTACGACTAACAATTCAAATTTGAAAATTTCCCAGTCCAGTTCAAAGGAATGACTTTAGTTCAAAACAATCGGTTTTCAGAGAACTTTACCGAACTTAAATATCTTATGTTCTTTACTTAAGACTCTTTTCTATATTAAGAGTCACATGATCTTGTCCGATGGGTATAGTTGTTTTACTCTAAAGACTACTTGATTGGTTGACAATCAAGGAGACAAGAGAATCTTATCCGTTTTGCAACAATCGTGTAGTGTATGATGTTTCATCATGTGATAGTGATCTTGTGATTGTCTTCTAATTCATCAAAAGTCTTTATGTCGAAAATAAAGATATTCTAAAAACTTTGGACATACGAACTGTTTCATTAACTTGATAAAGTTTTCACAATTATAAAGCAATATGGAAATAGGAAACGAAACTCCACAAACATGACCATGGAGAGGCCGTGTTCTTGAAATAGATAGATGCCAAGTTCCGCAATTAAGTCTCAAAGAGGATTTTAATCGACGAAAGAAGAAACGAAACTTCACAAACATGAACGGGAAGAGGCCGTATTCTTGAAAGAGATCGATGTCATGTTCCACAATTAAGTCTCAAATAGGATTTTTATCGACGAAAACAAACATGTGTGAGTTCTTCTTAGAAAAAGTAGTTCTTACCTAGAAAAATGTTATTGTTGGAACTGGAACAAACGATCGAATGCTCCAGCAGCTTACAATTGTAATATTGTTTTCAGTTAAGGAAACGGATATGTAGTCTTCATAAGTGAGAAGTCGACAAAGAGTACGAATTTGTAGAAAGTTTTAGAGAACTTGAATAGCTTTGAAGAAGATATACAAGAGAGAGATGGATCAAAGTGAGGTTGTGGTGCGCATGATCTTTACGATAATATTAAAAAAAGTTTTCAGTTAGGAAAACCGATATTGTTCGAGCTAATACTAATGATTGAACTATCTAGCATGAGAAGCAATTTGGTTTTGAATTATGAAAATGGAGATCCAGTCTGGTCTAGAGAGGAACTAAGTACTAATTTTGATTATTCTATATCTTCTCAACAAATTCTGAAAGACTACTAAGTTCATAAACAAAGATCAAGAGAGAAGTTGTTCCTTTTTAGTTCCGATTCTTAATCTAGCGTTTAAAAAGTTACGATATCAAAAACAAAGTTCTAACCCTTGGAGTATGACAACTTGTCAGTTTGTTAAATGCTGTTTGATTAATTTTATTCGCTAAAAAGCGCCAAAATACCCTTAACTCATTCTATACATCTGGCAATATTGTTATGAGTAGTAGAACTACTACTCCACCTCCTCTTTAACGTCGTCGCCGTTGTTGTGTTCAACGCTTTTTTTTTTCCAACAAACGAAGAGGTAAAACAAATTCAGGGGGACAAATCCGCCATGTGTGCATGTGTGTTTTTGACTATGGAGGCACGAGTTTTTTTGTACTCGTAGTTGTGTGGATATTTTATATCGATTTTTTTTTTAATTCATACTACATATTTATTCCAATTTTCAATTCTGACTAGATTTCATTAAGGGAACAAAAGTTTCAATGAGAATTTATAATTTTACCTGAAAAAGATTTTTGCAGTTTTCATGTTAGTTCAAGATCAAAAATTCGTGATTTTTGACTGCTAACTCAGATTTTGTTTTCGGTACGATGAAGCTGATGATGAAGATGATTAATTAATTTAATAACAATAAACATATGTTTCCTTTGTGGTGTGTGTGAATGTTTTTTTTTTTTTGTTTAATTTAATAGTTTTCTTTTAAAGATTACACATAGTTTTATTGATTGAACATGAATTTATTGATATATCGTTTTATAACAAAAACAACAACATTAGCACGGAACAATGAACACACGCAAATTCAGGCATGAATCACCAAACAACAATAAAAAATAAAAATAATTGACAAATTTGTTTTTTCTTTATCACACAACAACTTTATTTATTATTATTATATTTTCTTCCATATTTACGTTTTATAATTTTTTCTCTATATTTATTCATCAACTTTTCTTTTTTTAATATTTTGACACAAACATTGTTTAACTGTTGTTGTTTTGAGAGCTGACAAGGGGTATATGGAGGCTAAAGATTTTTCCTCTGAGCAAAATTTTCTTTTTTTTTATATCAGACAAGACAAGGAAATATTGTTTTGTTCAAGAATTTATTTAATATTAAATTAAAATAACAAAAGCAGCCAGAAAAAAAACGTTTTGCGATAAATATTTTTTTATAAAACAGCACTAAAATCACAAACACACGCACTCAACAGAATGTGTTTCTCTATACTACGTAAAACAAAGACACAACGGTTCACTGTTTGACAGCTGAAAACAAACTGAATAGAAAGAAGTATAGTTTCATATGGCAAGGGTGTCAAGTTGTCAAAACAAAGTATAGAAAGAAAATAGTGTTGCCAAATAATAATCAAACATAAGCAATAAACAATAGTTTTATGAAATTGTAACACTTATTAAAAATAGTTCTTGATATCGAACTAAAAATTGGCCCTTCTTAAGACTTTGAGAATTTATAACATTACTTTAATCCAATTTTCTTTCAATAGTTGGCAACTATTACATACATTACCCAAACACGCTTAAACAACCCTGTCTTACTAAACTACACTGCCTTATCAAAACCAGATAACACCGTTTTATATAAAAACTCATCGTGGACAACAATCACCAAATGCCAACGAACAACACTATATGGCAGTGGTAACGTAAATCACAGATTTTCACTGTTTTCTCAATTGGAGCGTTATTTAAGGAACTACAGACGATTTTAGATTTCTTATATAAAAATGGATTTTTCAAGGGAAATATCACAGCTTTTCACTATTTTCTCAATTGGAGCGTTATTTAAGGAACTATAGCCGATTTTAGATTTCTTATATAAAAATCCATTTTTTTTTTCTTATATAAAAATCGATTTTTCAAGGGAAATATGAGTGATCACAGATTTTCGCTATTTTCTTAATTGGAGCGTTATTTAAGAAACTACAGCCGATTTTAGATTTCCTATATAAAAATCGGCTTTTCAAGGGAAATATAAAAATCGATTTTTTAAGGGAAATATGAGTGATCACAGATTTATATATATATAAAAATCGATTTTTCAAGGGAAATATAAAAATCGATTTTTTAAGGGAAATATGAGTGATCACAGATTTTCACTATTTCCTCAATTGGAGCGTTATTTAAGAAACTATAGCCGATTTTAGATTTCTTATATAAAAATCGATTTTTCAAGGGAAATAGGAGTGATCACAGATTTTCACTATTTTCGCAATTGGAGCGTTATATAAGAAACTACAGCCGATTTTAGATTTCTTATATAAAAATCGATTTTTTAAGGGAAATATGAGTGATTACAGATTTTCACTATTTTCTCAATTGGAGCGTTATTTAAGAAACTACAGCCGATTTTAGATTTCTTATATAAAAAAAATCGATTTTTGGGGGGAAATATGAGTGATTACAGGTTTTTACTACTTTCTTAATTGGAGCGTTATTTAAGGAACTACAGCCGATTTTAGATTTCTTATATATAAATCGATTTTTGATGGGAAATATGAGTGATCACAGATTTTCACTCTTTTCTCTTTAAGGAACTACAGCCGATTTCAGATTTCTTATATAAAACTCGGTTTTTTCAAGGGAAATATGAGTGATCGGCTGTTGGAACTACAGCCGATTTTAGATTTCTTATATAAAAATCGGTTTTTGGAGGGAAATATGAGTGATCACAGATTTTCACTGTTTTCTCAATTGGAGCGTTATTTAAGGAACTACAGCCGATTTTAGATTTCTTATGTAAAAATCTATTTTTGATGGGAAATATGAGTGATCACAGATTTTCGCTATTTTCTTAATTGGAGCGTTATTTAAGAAACTACAGCCGATTTTAGATTTCCTATATAAAAATCGGTTTTTCAAGGGAAATATGAGTGATCACAGATTTTCACTATTTTCTAAATTGGAGCGTTATTTAAGGAACTACAGCCGATTTTAGATTTCTTATATAAAAACCGATTTTTCAAGGGAAATATGAGTGATCACAGATTTTCACTATTTTCTTAATTGGAGCGTTATTTAAGGAACTACAGCCGATATTAAATTTCCTATATAAAAATCGGTTTTTCAAGGGAAATATGAGTGATCACAGATTTTCACTATTTTCTCAATTGGAGCGTTATTTAAGGAACTACAGCCGATTTTAGATTTCTTATATAAAAATCTATTTTTGATGGGAAATAGAGTGATCACAGATTTTCACTATTTTCTTAATTGGAGCGTTATTTAAGGAACTACAGCCGATTTTAGATTTCTTATATAAAAATCGATTTTTCAAGGGAAATATGAGTGATCACAGATTTTCACTATTTTCTTAATTGGAGCGTTATTTAAGGAACTACAGCCGATTTGAGATTTTTTATATAAAAATCGATTTTTCAAGGGAAATATGAGTGATCACAGATTTTCACTATTTTCTTAATTGGAGCGTTATTTAAGGAACTACAGCCGATTTTAGATTTCTTATAAAAAAATCGATTTTTCAAGGGAAGTATGAGTGATCACAGATTTTCACTATTTTCTCATGTGAAGCGTTATTTATGGAACTACAGCCGATTTTAGATTTCTTATATAAAAATGGATTTTTCAAGGGAAATATGAGTGATCACAGATTTTCACTATTTTCTCAATTGGAGCGTTATTTAAGGAACTACAGCCGATTTTAGATTTCTTATATAAAAATCGATTTCTGATGGGAAATAGGAGTGATCACAGATTTTAACTATTTTCTCAATTGGAGCGTTATTTAAGAAACTACAGCCGATTTTAGATTTCTTATATAAAAATCGGTTTTTTCAAGGGAAATATGAGTGATCGGTTGGAACTATAGCCGATTTTAGATTTCTTATATAAAAATCGGTTTTTCGAGGGAAATATGAGTGATCACAGATTTTCACTGTTTTCTCAATTGGAGCGTTTTTTAAGGAACTACAGCCGATTTTAGATTTCTTATATAAAAATGGATTTTTCAAGGGAAATATGAGTGATCACAGATTTTCACTATTTTCTTAATTGGAGCGCTATTTAAGGAACTACAGCCGATTTTAGATTTCTTATATAAAAATCGATTTTTCAAGGTAAATATGAGTGATCACAGATTTTCACTATTTTCTCAATTGGAGCATTATTTAAGGAACTACAGCCGATTTTAGATTTCTTATATAAAAATCGATTTTTCAAGGGAATTATGAGTGATCACAGATTTTCACTATTTTCTTCATTGGAGCGTTATTTAAGGAACTACAGCCGATTTTAGATTTCTTATATAAAAATCGATTTTTCAAGGGAAATATGAGTGATCACAGATTTTCACTATTTTCTCAATTGGAGCATTATTTAAGGAACTACAGCCGATTTTAGATTTCTTATATAAAAATCGGTTTTTCAAGGGAAATATGAGTGATCACAGATTTTCACTATTTTCTCAATTGGAGCGTTATTTAATGAACTACAGCCGATTTTAGATTTCTTATATAAAAATCGATTTTTCAAGGGAAATATGAGTGATCACAGATTTTCACTATTTTCTCATTTGAAGCGTTATTTATGGAACTACAGCCGATTTTAGATTTCTTATATAAAAATCTATTTTTGATGGGAAATAGGAGTGATTACAGATTTTCACTATTTTCTGAATTGGAGTGGTAATTAAGGAACTACAGCCGATTTTAGATTTCTTATATAAAAACCGATTTTTTCAAGGGAAGTATGAGTGATCACAGATTTTCACTATTTTCTCAATTGGAGCGTTATTTAAGGAACTACAGCCGATTTTAGATTTCTTATGTAAAAATCTATTTTTGATGGGAAATAGGAGTGATCACAGATTTTCACTATTTTCTCAATTGGAGCGGTATTTAAGGAACTACAGCCGATTTTAGATTTCTTATATAAAAATCGATTTTTCATGGGAAATAGGAGTGATCACAGATTTTCACTGTTTTCTCAATTGGAGCGGTATTTAAGGAACTACCACCGATTTTAGATTTCTTATATAAAAATCGGTTTTTCAAGGGAAATGGGAGTGATCACAGATTTTCACTATTTTCTCAATTGGAGCGTTATTTAAGGAACTACAGCCGATTTTAGATTTCTAATATAAAAATGGATTTTTCAAGGGAAATGGGAGTGATCACAGATTTTCACTATTTTCTCAATTGGAGCGTTATTTAAGGAACTACAGCCGATTTTAGATTTTTTATATAAAAATCGATTTTCCAAGGGAAATATGAGTGAGATTAGATTTTCACTATTTTCTCAATTGGAGCGTTATTTAAGGAACTACAGCCGATTTTAGATTTCTTATATAAAGATCTATTTTTGATGGGAAATAGGAGTGATCACAGATTTTCACTATTTTCTCAATTGGAGCGGTATTTAAGGAACTACAGCCGATTTTAGATTTCTTATATAAAAATCGATTTTTCATGGGAAATAGGAGTGATCACAGATTTTCACTGTTTTCTCAATTGGAGCGGTATTTAAGGAACTACCACCGATTTTAGATTTCTTATATAAAAATCGATTTTTCAAGGGAAATGGGAGTGATCACAGATTTTCACTATTTTCTCAATTGGAGCGTTATTTAAGGAACTACAGCCGATTTTAGATTTCTTATGTAAAAATCTATTTTTGATGGGAAATAGGAGTGATCACAGATTTTCACTATTTTCTCAATTGGAGCGGTATTTAAGGAACTACAGCCGATTTTAGATTTCTTATATAAAGATCTATTTTTGATGGGAAATAGGAGTGATCACAGATTTTCACTATTTTCTCAATTGGAGCGGTATTTAAGGAACTACAGCCGATTTTAGATTTCTTATATAAAAATCGATTTTTCATGGGAAATAGGAGTGATCACAGATTTTCACTGTTTTCTCAATTGGAGCGGTATTTAAGGAACTACCACCGATTTTAGATTTCTTATATAAAAATCGATTTTTCAAGGGAAATGGGAGTGATCACAGATTTTCACTATTTTCTCAATTGGAGCGTTATTTAAGGAACTACAGCCGATTTTAGATTTCTTATATAAAAATGGATTTTTCAAGGGAAATGGGAGTGATCACAGATTTTCACTATTTTCTCAATTGGAGCGTTATTTAAAGAACTACAGCCGATTTTAGATTTCTTATATAAAAATGGATTTTTCAAGGAAAATATGAGTGATCACAAATTTTCACTATTTTCTCAATTGGAGTGGTATTTAAGGAACTATAGCCGATTTTAGATTTCTTATATAAAAATCGATT